TTCTGTGTCTCGTGTCATGCCTGTAGACTGAAATTAACCGCGGGACCACCGGCTCGGTAAAGAAGCGAGCACCCATATATCGTCATTTTTCGTCTTGTAATAGGTCATGAAGCCCTATAATCTCTATCCTTTCTTTCTGCGTAGTGCTTCTATCTCGACCAGCCGATAGCTATGCCAGCTAATAAGCATCCCACCTATGCGGAGTCAACCAGCCAAATCTCGTCGAACCTGTTGAGAACGTGTGCCTGAGGTGGTCCGATCTACTGGTGGCTGTGATGTGGATACTTCCGATGCTCGGTCATCCTTCAAGCATAAGCACGCCTAGCTGTGCCATCAATCAGCTCGGACACATACTTTCGGAACGGAATAAAGTCCAGATCCGGATATAACTCCTCGCCATCCAAGTATCCTAAATATCGGGCATACTCAGGCGTGTTATCCCCTCGCATATAAGTGGAATAAGTGTACTGGGCAGCAGCCAGTGTCGATTGAGCTCCCTTGTCCTCCAAACCAGTAGCCTCAGCCGCATTTTGCGCAGAAACAACGCGGGCCATTGCATCTTCATTAGAAATCAGTGCCTCCTTGTCAGCTGAGGGTGCAGCTGAAACAGTTACGGGATACACATACAGAGTTATAATCTAGCTTTTCGCCACTTGCTTCCCCCACAATCTGGAAGATCTCTCGCTGTGTGAGGACCTCGCTGTAGGCAAAGACCGACTTGTTCAAAGTCCGAGGATCAGCGATGATTTTGGCCACGTAGCGGCCGATATCACGAGAGTCTGTAATAGCAGAGGGAACAATGCCGTCGCCATTAAGTCCCTCGACAGGCAAAATGACAAATTGGTCAATGAGTCAGGAGGGAAGCCTGGGAGAGGTTATCTGGTACCACCAACCAACATCAACAATAGTGTACGGGAGGTAGATCTCTTTGATATGGTTCAAGACATCCTCTTTCTTCGTTTCGTGTTAGCTATTGTAACCTTTGTGATATTAATTGGTTACCGTACCGTCTCGCGGATGCCGAGTACGCCCTTAGGCGGCATAATTGTAGCGAAGAAAGTCGGAACGAAGCGTTTGACACCCGCCTTCTTCGCGGCATTCGCTAGAGGAATCTGTAGTAACAATCCTGATGCGTCGCGTACAGGAATAACAACATCAGCGCCGGCCAGGATTTTGACCAGATCCTCTTAGGGTCCACTAAGGTCGGCTGCTATGACCACGTTTCTGAACAGACCCCATAATATTTTGGGTCAGGGCCCGAGACTACGGATATGAATCCGACGAAGAACCTTGAAATATACGAGATGAGACATGGTTCTTCGTACAGAATTACTAAAACGGCTAGCATACGACAGGCAAACTAGACTTTTTGTTATATTGTCTTCTCGCGAAACTATTCTAGATCACTGGTCTGTGCTTAATACCTATTATGGATATTAGTTCTAGATTAGCAGGCTGGAGAATTATCTTACAGAACCTTTACCCGCTACTTCTAGCGGCCAATTTGGTGATGACGCTTGCGATGCTATAGTTCATGATGATGAGAGAACCTGTGAAAAAAAGCGGAGAAGATGAAGAGGATGGAAATGCTGATGTTGAAGATTGGGATCTAGACGATGCTGATTGATGATGACGAAGACGAAAACGACTACAATGATTCTGGATATTATAGCAATATCGATGGATCCAGCGCCGGACTATACCAAGAAATATCCGCCGGAGTACTGAGAGATTCTGCCAAGGTTATATTCGACAAATTCCTCGAACTCCTATTCCAGCTATGTGTCACGCTATGTACCGAGACTTTCATTAACAGGCAGCCAAGCTCTACGCTACTAGTGTACTTTAGTGGCGGTCTTAGCTTCTCTCTATTATCAAAGGTTCCAGCTCGCTCGACAGTACTACCCGAATCTGTCGGCAATCATGTGTATATTACATTTAGAGCTAGCATTACCCTTGCGCGAATACCCTATCTACCCTTATCCTACCTACCAGTTAAAGAACTTACCTCTAATTCTCGCCTTTAAGTAAACTAAGAGGAAGAGTTACCCGGTAGAGACCGGCTTTACTCCAGGATTAAAGATACTAGTACAGGCCCACAATATGCTATTATAAATATAACCTTAGTGGTATTATTATCCTCCTATAACTACTAAGGTCTCTCTCTATTTCTACTAAGGATAATATAATAGTAAGAAAGTTAATAGCTATATATAATAGCCGAGGAAAACATATAGCACTAATATCCCTCTACCAACCAATCGGATCAGCTTTATATACCATATTGTTAACTAGTGGCTCTAATAGATACTGGTTAAACTTGTCTTATAGTAGTATCGCCGCCGCTGGTTATCGCTTATATTGTCGCCCTTAATAATTAGAACTATCCATAGCTAATAAGTTACTAAGGGCTAGCCGACGTTTAATATAGTCTAAGAAACTTATAGCCTCCACTACCGAAATAGTCTTAGACCCCACCCATAAGCCTTATTCTTATTCTTATACTTATCTTCCTATATGGTTATTAGGCTTCTCTTATACCTTCTCCTCTATTCTAATATCTAATAAGTCAGGAGCTAGTCCTAAATCTATTTAAGAGCTTAGTATTTCTTATAAGGATAGAATATAATAGCCGCTATATAAACGATAGAGCTTAGCTTACTATAGTACTTATTTAGCTTCTTCTATCCGAGCTTAATATAAACCTTTAGAAGTCTCCGAGTATTTATATCTATATTATTAAATAGTTATACCTCTTTTATAATCTAGTCCTTATTCTCTTTAATTATTACTCCTTAAATGGCTAGCTCGAGGTAGTTAAGGAATATCTCTACCATTGGGAAATACTTATTAAATTCCCCTGAAGTTAAGTATTTACCAGTAATACTTTTACCTTATAATAACCTTAAGGTAACCCTAAAAGGCTAAAAGATCCTCTAGAGCGCGGTAATAACTTTCCACTCCTTAAGAGAAAGTTTTTCTTTTAGTATTATAGATTTATCTTAGTTTTTACTCCCTTAGCTAACCTAATATTCCTCAATGTTACGATTGGTTATTGTAATAGCGCTGTAATGCTTCTATAGGCAGCTGTAAGCACTACCATAATTGCTCATATAGTAATTATGGCCCGATCTTTTGCCCAGTGGCCTAACGGCTTGTGCTACCGTTACACTTTACAGACTCACGGAGCAGGGTATGCTGCTCCTCAGTGAAGGTTAGCAGCCGATCACCAATATACGCCCTCAAAGATGTAGGATAATCTGTTCCGAGGAAAATAGGATTACCAAACCAACTAACCCAGAATTCGAGTCTTGTAGCGGCGGCTTGGATACCTGCTGGACTGTCCGAATATGGTTCGTAAAAGTGGCTGTCCAAGACATATGAAATACGACCGTTCTGTTTTAGCTCAAACTCGCTGCAGTACATTTTGCCAACAGCAGCATAAGAAAGAATAAGAGTATGACCAACCCGTTATGGCTAGTATTTAGTATCATACCCATTAATAATATAGTGGCCAGGGGCGAGGGTACTATTAAAATGGCCAAAGATAAATATAATATAGGGCTTATTAAATATAACTTATTACTTAATATGGTTTCTAAAACGCTTAAAGCAAACTCGGGTATAATATATATAATCGGCTTAGAACTTATTAAGATTTAAGAATAGCTTATATCGGTTATAAAGAGCTTAAGATATATTCTAGTAATATAGAGTAATAAAGGGCTTAAAATTATAGGCTAGGAGCTAATTAATAAGCTTATTATAAAAGGCTATACCTTCCTTATTAATGGGGTTATTACGGCCACCCAGAGGGATAATTCGAGGCCATAATAAAGAAAAGCGATAGATATCGGTATCGAGTGATTTTATGAGGTTAATATCTTCGGTCACTTGGTTGTAGTGGTCGCAGGTGACATCGCCATTCTGGTGGTTGGTGCGTGAGGGCTCGTTGTAATAACGTAATCGCCTGGAAGGTGGCATTCTCGGTACCAATTTGCAAGGTGATATTGGCCTGCACCAATGATAAATGGCGTAATCGACTGGCTTTCCGTATTGATCGCCTGGATCACTATAATCCATTCCCGATTTCTAGGCTATACTGATTTTGGTCTTCCTTGCTTTTCGGAACCTATAATAATCATTCCGGCCATAATAATACCCAGTCTTATCAAAGTTCCAGATATTATTTGATCGGATACTATACTTCGCGATTGTGTCCTGTATGAGCCTAAACTAGCTATAGATAATAGTTGGATCTTTATATTTAGCTCTCTGGTAGCTATATCTCCGAAAGGAATATATCTTAAGCTCTGGTCATAGCTTAATAAAATTGCTAGCTTAATGTGTGCCGATGAGCCATGTGTCGCAGTTAGCGAGGAGATAATTGGCCATTGCTCTAATAATAGATAGTCGCGGGGGAAACCCTTGAGAATCCAGTCTAAGAATAAACCGAACTAAGGTCTCTTCTTCTAGATTGAGAGTCTCTGAGACTTCGGGACAATATCGCGTCGTGATTGAGTGCCGTGCTGGCGGCGTTGTAAGGTACGGTAATGAACTTCATACCTATTTGCAGCGTGTCGGATGCTTGGTTTTGGGTTCTTTTGAAGGGCCTATAGTGCAAGAAGCACCTTACCCTCATTATTATGTTGTGATATGTTAGGTGGTTGAGAATTAACTGACTAGATAGTGATGATATAGGGTGAGGGACTTTTATAACACTCACTTGTCTGTGACAGTCGCTTATTATGCACGCTAGTTTATTATAGATAAAGAGCTTAAACATATATTAATATTTTAATTATTAGTTTAAGAAGAATACCTATAGGTAAAAGAAACAGAAATTTATCTAAGTATTCACTGTTAAATCCCAAACATAAAGGCATATAGAAGAGCAGCTTAAGTTTCCTCCTATAGCAAAGTAAAATTCTTTGCTATCTATTAACACTAACAATCTGGGTTCTGTTCAGAGAGTGAGACCCGGCTTCTATAATTACATCGGCAGCGTGGCCTAATGGCTAAGGCGCTAGATTTCGGTCTTCATCTTCTAAATCCTCTAGAGATTCTAAGCTCAACTCCTGGCGTAGTTACTACAAGATCTTCTAACCTTTTCCTTTTGCAGATCCTAAATCCACATCTTTGACAGTCTATAGAAGCAGGATCACTGACTTACCCTCGTCACTTGAGTTAAGGGATAAATATATTGGTGCCACACTTACTTTGCGACATGAAGCGGAGCATCTCGCCATCGACACATCCACCAGGACTCGATGGTTCGGAATCTCCTCCTTGACTTGATTTCCGTCCTTGTATTACTCTATATATGTAACACGATATTTATGGCAGCAACGCATCGCTTCCAGTATCCGTGCCGCTTAGGTAAAAGTATAAGTGGATTAAAAACGTCACAGCATTGATTCAATTAGAAGTTTTGAGCTCGTGCACTGACTCAGGTTCCACAAAACCTCCGGACGGAACCCTGCTCTAACTGACGATCATCACCAAGAATATTCCAAATACCCACTATATACTTCGGAGGTTCAATCTGCACCCGATTCCGTTATGATTCTATAGTCCGTGAGATTGTCAACTCCATGTCTTTCTCGAGCTTAAAAGGCATGAGCCACTCACGTTCTTTGATTTCTTCAACAGAAAAAACCATCTCATCAACATCCATCTTTTCATCATGATAGTTATCAAGAACCCTTTCGAAAAAGCCCCTGTCTTTAGTCGATATCCACCTAGTGGTATCAATATCCTCGTTGCGGGAGCTGGCATTGCTGGTCTTAGTTTTGCTATTGAAGCACACCGAAAGGGCCACGAGGTTTGTGTCATTGACCGCCGTCCTCACTTCGACGACTATGGTAAAACAATCCAACATGACTGAGTTGTCGACAATGGCTCATGTGATTCATAGGAGATTTTATCGCCATTCAATCTTCTGCGCTGAGAACTCCTGAGAAATGGCCAGGTTTCATGGAAGCTTGTCGCCAAGAACGCATACCTCAAATTGGAGAAATGTTTACTCACGATGGCCAATTTGTCGGCTGTGTTACATTCGGTCTGAGCACAGTTCGTTCCAGCTTTCACCGCTCCCTTTTGCAGTACGCATCGCACCTAGGTATTGACATTCGTCTCGGCGCCCGAGTAGTGGATTATTTCGAGGATTCTGACAAGGGTGGAGTTGTCCTTGACACTGGAGCCAGAATCACTGCCGATCTTGTGGTTGCTGCTGACGGCATTGGCTCTCGATCCGGTGTTGTCATCAAGGGGGAACGTGATCACCCAACGAGCTCGGGTTATGCAATGTTGCGCGCAACCTACCCGACGGAAAGAATCCGTCAAAACCCTCTTCTAAAAAAATTCCTTGAGGATCGTTCCTCAACCAAAGGCGTCGTAGGGCCAGGCGCACACATCATCACAGGGTGTAGTGGCGACAGCGTGTCGTGGATGCTTACGCACAAGGTATAACCCACAACATCCCACTACAGGACTTGTGCTAACTGTATTGTGTCAAAAGGACAAAGACCCTGATGGCAAGGATCGCGCACCCGCGGTGGATCCTAAAGAGGCATTGCAATACGTCGAAGGCTGGGTTCCTTGGCTAACTGAGCTGATCAAGGCTACTCCCGAGATGGGGTCAGTCGATTATAAGCTCCTGTGGCGCGATCCTTATCCGACATGGGCCTCGCCGCAAGGCAGAGTCGTCCAAATTGGCGATGCCGCGCATGCCTTTCTCCCGACTTCGGCCAGCGGCGCTACCATGGCCATGGAAGATGCTTTCTCTCTGGCTGCAAGTCTTCAGCTTGGTGGTAAGCACAACTTGGCTCTTGCTGTTAAGGTGCATAACAAGTTGAGGTATGTTGGAGTATTCGTCACTCGTGGCTTTGCTAATACATGATATATCCAGATTTCAAAGGGTTACCTGTGCACAGAAAATGGGCTTCAAGAACCGCCAGCAGTATCACGAGACCTCTTTCAAGCCAGCGGAGGAGGGAGCGCGTCCTACCTTTCCCATGGTCGGTTTGTGGAGTTCTAAGCATGATCCTGAGCAGTATGTCTATGAGATGTATGATAAATGTGCCAACCACATCCTTAGCGACAGTCCTTTCGAAAACACAAACTATCCTGCAGGTCACACATTCAAGATCTGGACTGTCAAGGAGATGCGCGAGGTTGCTGAGCGGGGAGAGAATATTGTCGACGATGGTGACTGGTCTTAAGCTATCAGTCATGCCCAACACCGACATGACTTTGTTCCATACGTCGCTTTATTTCGAAGTTTTCAGCATTCTTCTCTAATATTTTATTGCATTTTACATAGATCACTGTTAAGCATAATAGACTTGATTAGCCATACTCCTAGCGTGAATGGGTATGCATGACTTTGATTGAACTAGTCTTGTACTGTCACTGAACAACTTGAATCAATACCAAGTAAGGTACTTCATCAGTCAATGCATTAAAAATCTCAACCTTCAGCATAGAATTTTCGTTAAAAATATAACAAAGCATCCAATCAATCAAAATCAATCATTGTACTCTTTTCTAGGTATCGCAACGATTGTCTGATGTATTCTCATATCACGTCCGATCTTGCCGGGTTGGGGAAAAGGCTCACCCAGAGAGGATTTGGATACCTGCCACGGAAACCATCTGGATTATCAGGCCGGATGATCTTGGGTGTCTAGCCCCCTTTTATTTCTTGCATTATGGTTTTCTTTTCCAAGCCTTACAAGAGGCGAGTTGGAGATGTGTCTCGATGGGGCTTCCCTACCCTACCCTATATCATCTTCTTCATCTCCCTCCTAGTCAACATTCCTCACCGAATGCAGCGGTCAATCTCGCAGTAGGAAAATACTTTATTAAATTTGTCGACCTGTCCAAGGATAGCGCGTTCTTTGGAAAGATCTGCTCTTGCAGACATCGTACTTCGACCGAGACGTCTAATTTCGCGTCGCGAATGACTAAGCCGGCAGCAGCCAATAACATTTTGTAATTAGCGCATATATATTATTACAGCTATAATGCGCTAAGCTTTAGACTGCTCCGGGCAACCAGCCACGTATTTTTCTTTCGGATACAACCGCAGATTTTATACTATTCCCTTATTATGTTTTATTATGCCGTCGGGGCAGCCGAGGCTGCAGATGTCGCCTGTGCGATCAATCGTCGGATACCACTCCGGATGAGCATGAGGTAATGTACGTGTTGTAAATGCAACAAAGTAGGGACTCAGATGAGGGAATATCGTTGAAAATACTGCGCCCTCGACTTGATCAAGGACAAGTCGACGTTGGTTGGCTTGGAATTGATCCATGGGGAGTGAAGATGGATGGGTGCGGAGGGCCATCTTCACCCCGCACACGCCAGATTTGATTTCTTGGGGTATTTTAGCGCATTACGTTATCATCAATGAATCTCTCCGGGGCATCCAGGATGCAGCATGGATGGGAAATACCGAGATAGAGACAGACTGAAGGCAGCTGAGTCATGTACCTGTCAATCAGAAGAACAAATCATTCATCAAGACATCAAGAATCAAGCCAAGTCATTGGGGAAAATGTCGATCCGCTTTACTGTAGGCGGTTGGCTTCGCCGTCGCCGCGGTCCTCCCCCCTTAACAGCGCGTGATCGCCAGTAGGTAGCCACCCGTGGCCATTTTGCACGTGTATTGGCAGGGCTGCAAAAGCTGCTGTCTTATGAAACAGGTCAGATTATCCCTGCAACAGACACACAGACAAGATCAACCAGCTCGCCGCCCATTTCCCAATAGAGCCAAGCTTGGAAATTGCGACCCTAAACCCCCTGCAATTCTTCAAGTCGGAGAGTTGCAGCCCGCGCCGAAAATTTCCACAATAGGTAACCTTGCTAAGAATCAAGGATGAGGGGGATGGGATGGACACCTCTTGGCGCGCGCCCACCTGCGGTTTACGGGTTAAGGGGGAGAAACTGACCGAGAGAACTTCGTAACTAACTATCCATGCGATTCCATCGAGTCCTTTGGTGTCCCAGGACTCATGACTTGATGCTGTGTTACCAGAACCTTCGTGTCATGAGAAACGATCCACTCACAAATCAGACGCTAGCATGGCAAAAAGAAAAAGACGTTCTAGGCGTTGAATGGCATTTCGCTATTTATATACAAAAACTAGGAATCTAGGTTATACATGGTGAACAGGAATACCTGCACTCCTGGCCTGCGCAGCAGTAGCCTTCATGATTTCCTTCTCTTCTTGACCACTGTTGTCGCCGAATACTTCGTCCATCTCCTCGAGGGACCTGCCCTTGGTCTCAGGGACGAGGAAGTAGGCCCAGACAGCTGCGATAGCGCACCAAGATCCGTAGAAGACATATGTACCGAAACCGATCGACTCGAGCATGGGAGGAGTGATGACGCCTGGATAAATCGTTAAAATCAACTTGATAACTCAGGATTAAAGATGAAAACTTACCAACAATGAAATTGCAAATCTAGCATGTTGCAGTTGACAAAGCGACACCCTTGGATCGGGTGGCACTGGGGAAGACCTCAGAGGGGAGAGCCCAACCAAGGGGAGAGTATGAAACTCCGTAGCATAGGATGAAGACAAATGCCATGGCAACACAAGCCCAACCAGCGTCTGCGTTAGCCTTCCAGTCGTGAGAGAAGATCCTGACAAGAATAGCCATGATACCCCAAGAAACAGCGCCACCAACACCACCAAATATAGCCAGAGGGCGACGGCCTACACGATCGATAATGAAGAAACAGATACCGACGGCCACCAGCTGAAGAACGTTGAAAATACCGGACATGGTGAGAGACATTTCCTCAGACTGGCCAAGGGACTGGAAAAGGGTCGGGGCGTAGTAGATGAAAGCGTTGATTCCACTGAACTGCTGGAAGAAAAGAATACCACAACCAACAGCAGTTCGTCGCCAGGTCTTGGGGTTGAAGAGGTCTAGCCAGGTAAGGATTTCGAGCTTGATTCCGTGCTTTCCGGGGTGGCGGCGCTCAAGAACAGTTTTCTGGAACTGAGCCTCAGTGATGATGCCCTGGTACTCGGTGCGGACTCGAGATTCATCAGGAGGAAGACGGCGCATGCGA